TTATTTAGTTTATTATGAGATGACCTTAATTCATTATATTATATTAGATCCACAAGCGGTGTGTTTAAATTTTTGTGCACACAGACATGTATTGTGGGTATTGATTGAATGGTGAAGCTATATTCCCAATGGTGAGAGGAAGCACTGTGAGTGTTGTTATGTTATTCCTCATATAAAGATAAAAATAAAGGTGGATGGAGCAGTGTTACTGATAAATTAAAGCAACGCTTTCGTAAAAATGTGCTACGGTATTATGCTACGGAGAACAGAGAAATGAAAAGGAGCTAACATTTCGTAACATTGATGATAGGGATGGGAGCGTCACGCAGATGATATGGGCAGAGAAACTTGGGCAATTCATACATTATTTGTGTCTACGCAATGAAAAACACCACCACCTGACGCTTCATGGGGGAGAGTAATATTAAAATAGGCGTGAAAACGATGGCAAAGGAAGCAATTAACGACACACATGCCCGCCTTGTTTTGATTCTCAAAGTAGGTTTCTCGGGCCCTGGCTCTGCCGCCAATAACTGAAAGGCATATCGCCTATAAACACATTAAAACGACATGCTTCTTGGGTGACGTGGTTGGCGATGGCAGGAGGGAGTTGGATAACTTGTCAATGTTTACTTTTGCCGCAAAGGGAGGAAAATGAAGAGGTCAGGAGGGGAACATTGTAATTTCTTCAAGCAATGGCTTTCTCCTTATAGAAGAGAACACTCAACGAATAAAGTTGGAATCTCTCATGAGACTACTTATTGATGACTCATTATTTTTATGTGAAACAAGTTACTGATGAGTGAGATTAGTTAATTCCGTCATGTTGTTTATGATTCTCTACCAGATCAAATTGTGATCTGGACGTGTGGAACCAAGGATGGAGTGAGATCAACAAAAAGATACGAGCACGTAATGCATTCTTTTAGGAACATAAATGAATCCAAGAAGACGAAAAAGGAAAAGGAAATCATGTGAAATCTAACACTAGGCCTGGCAATCCCACCAAATGGCACAAGACATTGGTGAAATTTTCTTTCCGGCCCGAGACCGCCCCACCCAATCATCATCACCCTATCATACATATGTTCATATTTAAACAAGTAACTAAAATTATGAAATATACGTGGGCACGTATAATTGGATCGGTTAGGTTAGGTTACAGGCTTGTCAAGGAGAAAACATTACAAATTCATTAAAAATCCGAACATTCTCGTTCAAATTTTGACACCATCAACTTCTCTTTATATCCAGTTGATTGGAAAATTTCCCAGATCCAAAGAAATCATGGGGGCGGGTTAAGTTGGAGCAAGTCGAATAAATCATATTATCCCTGGTTAATTTGTTTCACCCAACCAAAAAAATCAACTCTTATTTTCTTTTTTGTTTCACCAACAAGCTCTTATTTTCTTTACCACCATAAAAATAATCACCTTTGCAAACATGGGAAAACACCAGCACACTTGTACTCGATAGGGACATGATTACGTGCGCGCGGGCTAAAACTCAAATATTTTATGATAACATTTTGAAATTTTAGAAAATTTAGACGCCTCTGGAAAAGGGGGAAAAATCAGATAAAGCAAATTTGCATAGCAAAAGGACATTTAAAATAAAACTTTATGGTGTGAGAATGTTAGTTTCGATATTAATTAGGTTTTAGGGAGCATGAAATTAAAAGCAGTCTTGGAAAGATTGGTGGTTTGACTGGAATATTGAGGTCGCGTTGATCTGCTTATGGCATTGAAAATTAAAGAAAAATAACAAGGGACAGTGGGCTCCATTCATTTTAAAGTAAGGGGGACGCGTAGGGCTACTTTGAAATCCGAACTTTAGGTGGATTTGATTCTTTTTGACTTGCTCTTCCAAATAATACAGTTCAAATATTATACAATTATTGCCCTATTCACACATACATAGTATATAATCGGATTCCATTTCATTATTTAACTTGGACTTTTCAACTAATGAAGTCAATAATGACATATGATTTGGCGTGCAGATTTGTTTTTCTACAAGACAGAGAGTGACGCACAGTTTTTCTCATCTCAAACATAAACTATGCATGTAAAATATCTGCTCTGAAAATATATCTTATTCAGACTATTGTTATTTTCTCTCTTCAGATCACGCCTCTTTCGTCCGCTCACAAACACACCTCTACATCCCATGCGCGTGTCTGTTATAAGTTAATCTTTGGGAGAATTTCAGTTAAGGAGCCAAAAAGAGATATATTTTTTATGAGTTCCTAAAGAATTTAAAACTTCAGTTCAATTTTTTAAGATTAAATTGAAAATAAATTGAATGCGATAAAGACAAAAATATCTTTAATTTAAATATTAAAAAACCATCAATTATTATCGCCGGAGCACCATCGTAGGTGATTGAAGCTTGCTAGCGACAACTATCACTGGATCTCTATCACCAGAGCTTCAGCCGCCAGTTGGACCACCGCTGGTAGTGGCTGGATAATTAAATTCTCCAAAGATGGCCAAGGGTGGGTGTAGAACCCATGACCCCTTGGCTCACTAAAAAGTTATAAACCATTAAGCCATTGAACTTATTTAATTATATAATGCATAAAATTATATATATATATATATATATAATAAATACTGTTTCTAAACCACTTGATTATTACGTTATTTGTTAATCGTATAGCTTTATTTATTAATATCTTAACAGGATTTGTTAATTACTTAACTTTGCTTGATAACTCCATGACTCCTGCAATAGGATTACATTACTTATTAATTGTATAACTATAATTGTTAATACCTTAGCAGAATTTATCAATTACTTAACTTTCCTTGTTAAATCTCTCACAACAGAATTACATTACTTGTTAATCACGTAACTATACTTGTTAATACCTTAACAAGACTTATTAATTATTAAAATTCACTTATCAAATCTATGACTCCTTCAATTGAATTGTATTATTTGTTAATCATGTAACTTTACTTGTTAATTATGCAACAATACTTGTTAGTTGATCAGCTTGACTTGTTAACGCCATAACAAGACTCGTTTAACTGTTATTCCAAAAGCACAACTAAATTACTTGTTAATGTCGTAACTTTACATATTAATACATCAATAATACTTGTTAATTGTCTATTATCACTTGTTAAATGAACATATAATTTACATAAAAAAGAGTTTGTCAAATAACGAAAGTGACGACAATTGAATCTCTCTTATCAATATTCATCAAACTGGATACTTAATTATATATGCACATATATATAGAGAGAGAGGGGGGTAATACCCTAAAAAATAAATATAACATTAACAATTAAAATTAAAGAAATGACAAGCTATATTAGGTTTTTAAGAAGTATACTTCTTGTCATAATATTTAAGATGTTTGAAAATAAAATTTATTATACAAATAATTTTGAGGGAGTCACGAAATTAACAAGTAAAATTATATAATTGATAAGTAATGTAATTCAATTGAAAGAGTGATGGATTTGATAAGTAAATTCAAATAATTAACAAGTATAGTTATGCAATTAACAAGTAATATAGTTCTGTTGTGAGAGTCATGGACTTAACAAGAAAAGTTAAGTAATTGACAAGTTCTATTAAGGTATTAACAAGTATAGTTATGTGATTAACAAGTGTTTTGTTGTAGAAGTCATGAACTTAACAAGAAAAGTTAAGTAATTGACAAATCCTATTAAGGTATTAACAAATATAGTTATGCAATTAACAAATAATATAGTTCTATTGCGGGAGTCATAGTATTAATAAGAAAAGTTAAGTAATTAATAAGTATTGTTAAGGTATTAACAAGTAAAATTACGTGATTAATAAGTAACGTAAAAACAAGTGGTTTAAAAATAATATTTATTATATTTATAATTTTATGCATTATATAATTAAATGGGTTCAATGACTTAGTAGTTTATAAGCTTTTGGTGAGTTAAAAAGTTATGAGAATTTAAAGAATTTAATTCTTCATGATTTTTTAACTATTGCTAGTGATGGTCTAATTAACGGTTGAAGTTCTGGCTCCAGTGGTTATTATTGTTGGCGAGACTTCGATCACCAATGATAGTGCTCTAACAGTGGTGATTGATGATTTTTTTAATATTTAAACTGAAAATATTTGTATCTTCTTTTACAGCATTCAATTTATTTTTAATTTAATTTTAAGGGATTGAATTGAAATTTTACATTCTGTAGGCCCTTACAAAAAATTATGTGTCCTTTCAAATTCTTAACTGAAATCCTCCCTTCGGCTTTTCTTACAATTTCGTAAATAAAGTTGATGCTGCTTTGTCCGGTAATCTGTGATTTTATTTGCGGCGTGCATCAGTGCGCGCGACTCTATTTATTTGTTGAACAAGAAATTACCAGTATTAAATTTTTCTTATTATGAATTTAATAATTAAAATTTGCTGCAAAAACTGTAACATGAATAGACCTTAGGTGTCATCATCATCCCAGGATAGATTTGCTTATTTTTTAATTGCATAATTACAAACACAATTAAATAACATGAGCAATTTTAAAAAGTGCACTCGTCAATCAACTCGTCTCACTAAATTTTTACGGAGCTTTCTAATTTCGAGTTAATCTCAGCATTACTTTATTCTTTTATTTAATGCCTAGAATAACAAAAATGGATGGTGGATTTACAAAACAAAAAAGATGGATCACTCAAAGAGATGGGATCATATGCTGATATGATTTAATATGTCTATCTCTACAAATTTTCTGTAGCTTTCTATTAAAAAAAAAAAGGATGGGACCATACACAATTTCTCCTATTTTTTTTATTTATTTGTTTTGGACGAAACCCATTTTTTCTTGAAAATCAAGACAATCTGGACCGTTGACAGCAAAGGCAAGGTAGATTGGTCATTGGTCCAATAGCTCAGCATCGCAACAGCTAGGTTTCTGGGGCAGTGGATCGTAGCTCTGCGAGGAATCTGACCGCTGCCCGACGTCAGTCTTAGTAGGTGCTCATCACTGACACGGTCAGCTAGCGCTCTCTCTCATTTTCGTGCAGGTCCAGGGGCTTGTCTTCTCTCTCTAGATGTTCTCTCTCTGCCTCCCATGGTCTCTCGCATTTCCAACTTAAATGTGACCTTTATTTATAACATTGAGCGATCGAAGCCACCTTCTCTGGGGGAGGTGGCACTGGCGAGAGGTGTGGCACCTCTCTGGGGTAGAAGATATACCGAGCGAGAAAGGGATGGGTCAGGGCATGAGCTGCGCAGGGAGCCATGAACATGGCCTCTTCACTGCGGTACAGCATGGAGATATCACCACTGTCAGAAATCTCTTGCAGAGAGACCCAACTCTCCTGCACCAGACCACTGTCTACGATCGCCATTCAGCTCTTCATATAGCCGCTGCTAATGGCCAGATCGAGGTTGGTTTTCCTTGTCTTTCTTGATAACTAATTCGATTTTTGGGGACATTTGGTAATTAAGTGGTAGGTATTTCTGGGATTTTCGTTTATGGGCATATTACAGGTGTTAATTCTTAACATTTTCTTGGTGTTCATTTGATGGGCTGTGTGTCTTTTGGGCGAGTTGCAGATTCTTTCTATGCTGTTAGAGGGATCTGTTAATCCTGATGTTTTGAACCGTCAGAAGCAGGTAACTACGCGCCTATTGCTCCCATTTTCACCTAATCTTTTGGAAATGAATATGAGATTCCTTTTTCTTCAAATTTTGCCGCGCTCATCTTTGATTCCACTGTAAATGCTCCAGACTCCGCTCATGTTGGCTGCAATGAACGGAAAGATCGCCTGTGTGCACAAACTCCTTGAAGTTGGAGCTAATGTAGGTGATTTTGCCAATTATTCGTTCCAACCCCTGATTCATTAAGCATTATAATATGAATCAATCACGTTTGAGTATATTTTTTATTCGTTAATTTCTTAGGTATTGAAGTTTGATTCGCTTTACGGTAGAACCTGCCTGCACTACGCAGCCTACTATGGTCATTCTTCTTGCCTTGAAGGAATTCTTTCCGCGGCACAATCTAGTCCGGTGGCTGTTTCTTGGTCGGTGCTTTCTGTTTTAGCATCAATATGCAGTGGCATTCGTTCAGGTTGTTAGTTTCTGATTGTGCCTTATAGTGGATTGATTGCAGGGGATTTGCTCGGTTTGTGAATATCAGGGATGGTAGAGGAGCGACGCCGTTGCACTTGGCTGCCCGTCAGAGACGGCCTCAATGTGTGCGTATTCTATTAGACAATGGAGCTCTTGTCTGTGCTTCAACAGGTGGATATGGGTAATGATCTTTACAATAATTTTGAATTTGAATTTCAATCTGATAAGGTTTGTGCATTAATGAATCGCCACTTGCAGCTGTCCTGGGAGCACTCCTCTACATTTAGCTGCCAGAGGGGGATCTATGGACTGCATCCGTGAACTCTTGGCATGGGGAGCAGATCGTCTTCAACGGGATGCTTCAGGGTATAGTATAGTTTCTCAATACAATTTCTCATCGTTTAGAGATCTAGATCTCATAGTGCGTGAGACTTCGTGGCATGTTCAAACTTCAAACTCTGGTCGATTAATTTTATGCAGCTTATTGGATCAGGCATCTACTTATTGTCATGGTAATATTATTAATTGAATTGCAAGTCCTTTTAGGAAAGTCTGATAAGTTAATTTTGTTACTAATTTTGATGGGCCCTCTGAATCCTCTGGTGGTTTTATTTCACATTTTCCCGCTTTACAAGTTTAGAAGCGACTTTGATTATTTAACGAACTGCTAAGAATCCATACTTGGAATAGATTTATAACATTCCACAAGCCATCTACTTCCCAACTATAGTGCCCTGGACCTGCCGTCATGTTGTATGGTGTGATTATGCAGGCGGATACCATATTTAGTTGCTCTGAAACACAAGCATGGCGCATGTGCAGCGTTGTTAAATCCTACGTCTGCTGAACCTCTTGTCTGGCCTTCACCTTTGAAGTTCATCAGTGAACTTAATCCAGATGCCAAAGCATTATTAGAACGAGCCTTGACGGATGCAAACAGGGAAAGGGAGAAAAATATATTGAAAGGAAGTGCTTACTCTCTGCCATCCCCATCATATTCTGATGATTGGGTAGATGACAGTATCTCCGCGGTAACTTGACACCCTCTCCATTTAGAAAAACATGTTGATAGTTCTTGTGTATGCTATTGAACTTGACCAAAATATGCTTATGATCAATTATATTTAATCTGAGAATGATTGCATGAAACTTGTTGATTCTATTTCTCTTTTATATTTTGATTGATGTTCCGAATTGCGAGTGATTTGTTAGAACCTATCTTTAACAGATGACCTTTGTACTTTTACCTATTCATCTTCCGTATGATGTTGATGCAAATCCAATATAAGAAGACGTTTGTCTATATTTTAAAGATTGAATAGTGATTAGGATTTTTACTTGAATCACTATTCATTCATTGTGCTAATGCAGGCCAGTGAGACGGAACTGTGCTGCATCTGCTTTGAGCATGTTTGCACAATTGAAGTCCAGGACTGTGGCCACCAGATGTGTGCGCAGTGCACTTTAGCCCTCTGTTGCCACAACAAGCCTAACCCTGTCACTACTTGCCTCACTCCACCAGTATGTCCATTTTGCCGAAGCACCATAGCTAGATTGGTGGCTGTGAAGATCGAGAGTCACGACGACACAGATTTAGAAGCTGGGGATGTGAGTTCTTCAAAGTTAAGCAAGTCAAAGAAAGCCCGAAACTTGAATGAAGGAGGCAGCAACAGCTTCAAGGGACTATCATTCGGAAAGATGAGCGGACGGAGTTCTGGAAGGATTGCTGCAGAAAATGAGTGGGTTGATAAAGAGTGAGCGATGGCTCCTGCTCGTGGTGGTTAGTAATTTCATATGGACAAGGTAAAGTAATCTGCTTAAGAGGCAAGCGTAAACAAAAAGTTGAAGGAGAATTAATGGAGAAGCAAAGCGCATCTTAATCCATATACTAAGTAGTTTTGGGAAATAAGCAAAGTGAGTTGAAGTTGCAATTGCATGTTAAGTGTGGCTGTGGGGGCTTGTCATGTAATATTATTACTCGAGAATGAAGAAGCATCGTCTGCCCGGATGATTAAGGGCGTCTATAATCTATGATGTACGTAAATTGTGTAAAGTGAGTAATTCTTTTTCTCGAAAGTAGAATGGAAGATTATTTTGGTGTCGGCTTCATTTTGAGGATGTCAGAGCAGTCTTCTCGGGGAAGAGTCAGGGTCACTAGGGTACATAGGATGTAGTTTGATCTTCTTTCCCCACCGAACATTTTTATATTTTCATGAAGGAGAGGATGATTGCCCTTCTGAAATGTATAATGAAGGTGCTTTAAATTTATCTATTGTACCAGATTGAGGAATAAAATACGGTAGAGAAAGAACTGGCTTGCTGTTGCTCGGCATGTGATCATGTCTCCCTCGGTTGAGTAGTTTTGTGCTTTCCCATGAGATTTTTATAACACAAAATCAAACTCACAGGGATCCAGACAAAGTCAGACGATCTGATGAATGCTGACACGTTGAAATATCAATGAGCCAATGGATGTATTTAGCCTTATTGCTATAAAACTCAAATCTCGTGTTTGATGTACCAATTTGTACCAACCAGGGTTGGGTAGGAAGCTTTCTAACAGGTGAAGGGGGACTGAAGAAAGGGACAGGCAAGCGAAGCAGGGGATTTGAAATATGTTTTAAAACATCACTAATCCGAAAGGGATAAAAAAAGAAAAAAGTAAGAAACAGTTGTTTGCATGATGAGGCATACGATTAAGTTGAGTGAGAAATGGGGGTGGAATGATGGACTTGTGGAAGTATAAATGCAAGGACGAGCGGAGGATGGGTCCAGTCCGAGCAGATGAGGTAGTGTTTGACCTGTTCTTTGAGGGCTACGTCTCAACCATATATTCAATTACGTTCTCGTTCATTCACGGGTGCCCTCACCATCTTGATAGTGTAATCTTTTAGGGTCACGTAACTCATCCATCATCGCGTCTATTTACATTCCAATTATTCTTCATGAATTAAATATTAAAAAAAAAGGATGCTTGCTGCCGACAAGTGGCGTGGAAAAATATTGTCTGTGGGGTAGATAAGAGAACGAGTCAGAGGAATGGGGAGGCTGCTTGCTCTGCATATAGTACGCAAAGCCGAACATTATTGTGATTCTTGTATTCAACATTCATTCAAATTGAATCCCCCAACGCCGCAATCATCATCTCCTTTTTTTCTCATTCAGCAATATTGTAACTATTCTGGTCATTGCAATAATTTTCTATATTTTAATTTAATTTCATGGGCAATCATAAATTTACCACACAAAATCAATTGCACTCTATTCATAAGTATAACTCATTTCTAATTACAATTTTATTGTCTAGTTTGTCACTAAACATGGAAGAAGGAGAAGGTTGAGCTCTCTTCCACTCTTTTCCCCGTTTTCCGCCATGACAGTGCTAGTAAGAAGACCTTTTTTAAGCTGTTGATGTTCAGATACAAAAATCCATGCGCTGATTTTTGGCAAAGGCATTCCTCAGGTCTGCCTGTAATTTTTGATGATGACCAGCGTTAGAGCGAGGCTTGCGTAACCCTTTGCATTGTGAGTAGACCTGCCTCTTGATCCAGGAGAGGAAATGATAAATATATAAATTTGGTACGTGGCAACACACACGCCATTGCCAAGGGAGAGTAGTGGGTGAAGATAAATTAGTTTATCCGTTCATAAGGAAATGAGAAGATGACATCTAATTTAAATGAATAAAAACACCACCACCAGAATTAGAATAAAAATGAAAATATCTTCAAAATTACTGTAGTGAACATACACATTTTTTAACGGCCACAGGTAACATATTTCCTATTTATTGGCATCATTTCCAATTTCGCAAGCGGACAGCATGAACTAATCCATCAGGTGAGTGTCAGTTTCTTTGTGGACAAAAAATGGAATCATGTCACCTCTGATTCGGGGAACAATCACCTTAATTACATCTCCCTCTCCAATGCATACTTACATAGCCACAAAGCAAAACCCACTATTCCCCGCTTTTTTCTCCCTTCCCGATTTTTTCTCCCTTTTTTTCTTTTTCTTTTTCAAAGACATGTCTCGAAAGTTTTGTGATCGGACGTTAATTTCGAAAAACCGTCTGAAAAGCTCCAGCTATGTGTCTATGGTGTCCCTTGAAAAAATTTGCCCTCTCTCAGCCCTTCAGAATTTTAACTTGGACCGTTGAGATTTTCATATGTTGTTTTTATATTTTATTTTATATTTAATAAAATAAAAATTTTAAATTTTAATAAATCTAATTTATCATCAATCTCTAAAGCCGAAAATAAGGGCCAAGCTTGGAGGCCCTGTTTAAATAAAAATTTGAGCTTTAAAAATAATTTTTTTTAAAGTAATCGGACTTGAAGACTTGATCCTGATAAACCCTGTAAAAAAAGACTCTGGCTTAGGTAGCCCTTCAAGCCCTATTATATTATTAGTATTATTATTTTCTTTGGTGGAACACATGTTTGAAGTCAATGATCTGTTCATCTGATCCTACACACATTATATTATTATTAATGTTAATTTATTCTAAAATTAATTTAATATAATTTAATAAATATCAGTGTATATAATAAAATTCCTGATATTTTTTATTTTTCTATTATTATTATATTTGTGTATTTATAAAAAATGAATTATGTTTAACTAAGATTTAAATTTTATTATTAGACTTCTAAATGTGTGTTAAATATTTTTATAATTTTTGTAAATTAACTATTCAGATATATTTTGGAACAGTTAAATTTAAAATTAAATTACTTTTTAAATTTTTATTTTAGTAAATATAATATTAAAAAAATAAAGATAAAGATAATCTTCAAACTGAATTTCTAAAAATTTATAATTTAAAAATTTTTAATCTAAATTATGCAGAATACATCTGGATAGTTAATTTATTAAAATTATAAAATATTTAATATTAAATTTATTATTTAAATTAAATCTATATTATTTAGATTAATGAGAGAATAAATTTATTAAAATTTATAATTTTTATTTTATTAAATATAAAATAAAATTAAAAAATTTAAACTGTTCAAATTAAAAATCTAAACAGTCTAGATTAGGTGCTCCTCACATGATGAGTATTAAAACCATCTTCACAGTTGAAATGGATTTCTTATTATTCTTGATTTGCTTTCTTCTTCTTCAAATCCATATAAAATTTTTTCTGTTATTTGCTCTTTGATTTGTCATGTTCATGTAAAAAAATGGAACAAAAGGAAAAAGCCCCGTTTGTTGTCTCGGATGACAGGTTAAACATATCTTTTGTTGAACTAATAACCTATTGATAAACTAGTTTAAAAGTCTTGAATTGTTAAATAATAATAATAAAGAATATAGATGATTCTCTTCGTTCAAAAATGTAAAATATTTTTTAAAAAATTAAATGTTAAAAAATGTAAAGCATTTTTAATTTTTTAAGATGTAATCATTATCTTTTTTTCTAAAAGTGTCCCCATTAATAGTGACTTTATATTTATTATAGGATATTTAATATGGATAAATATGTAAAGATAAGTTAGTTTGAAAATAAGTAACTACTATTCAATTGAAAAGTGAGATTTAATTTAAGATATTTTATATTTTTAAATGGAGAGAGTATATTACAAAATAGTGAAAGGGTACGGTCTTTGATCAACTTTATGAATTAAATAATAGAGGCGCTTGGGAGAGTGTCTAGGTTTTGATGGTAATAAGAAAAGGAAAAGTAGGTTGTGAAAGTGATAAGTGATATGGCATCTGCATTGTGAAAGTGAGATTCTAAGGATACTTGGTTACGAATATTACATACAAAAACATAACACATGCATGTATATAGGCTCTGCAACTTCAAGTCCCCTCTTCTCTTTTTCTGATATGCACTGATGGCCGATGGAGCCCTTGACAGATAATTGAGTCTCACTCATATGCCAATGCCAAGGCCCATCAACACTACAGCAAGCAAGACTTTCCATAATTAATAAATTGGGTCCCTTCTGTTATGTTTAATTTAGCAGCTTTCTTAATTTATTAATTAGCTGCACCATATTTCTGCTTCTCTTCGAGCCTTCATCTTCAGGCTCTTCCACGCACCACCCAGTAATTTCATTATAAAATTTCTGCTCGCTGCCCCGCCTTGGACACCAAACCATGCATCTTGGAAAATTGAACGGTGTTTTGGAACTGAAGCAAATATTATTAAATGCCGATGCAAAAGAACCATCTGCATTAGCTATAAAAGACAACTTCCGACAGACGAAATTGGAGGTATATTCTGCAGTGGACTCGGATCAGAATATCACATGACCTTTCTCAGTATTTGCAAATTAAATTGCTTCACGGCCAACAACAACAGGCAAATTATTGCGTCCTTGGACGCGGGTACAGGAATTTTCAGACCCAGAGGGGGGAATTATTTTTACCTCAAATGCCTGTCCTGTTGTTACTATATATTTACGGACTTCTGATCAGTCTGTATCTGACGACGATGATGTCGTGGAAGACGGTGGAGAAGCAGTGCAAGTGAAGTGTTGGATGACGTTGACCTGCCAATTATTGGGGTCTTTAGCTAACCCAATCATAGAATTCAGTGGGAGTAAACTGTAAAAATACCAAAGGCTGGCCTTAAGCCTATCGTCAAATCAATAGCAGGGAAAGACGGTTCACGCAGTTGAGAAGGATCCAAGGTCCTAGAAGACAGAGAGGAGAGGAAAAGGATGAGAGGAAATAACAAAGAAGTGATTAAAAGAAGACCCACGCAGAGAGAGTAATTGGGAGAGACCCACCGATGAGTAAAAATCCAAAGAACAGGGAGGGCAGTGATGGCGATGCAGTGGTTGAAATTTTGTGAGCAGACGGGCGCCTCATGTGTCAGATACCACTCAAGGAAGGGTCATTTCTTCGCACAGACAATACAGTTTGATGGATCATTGGCATGGGCGGTGAATGGAGCTTCCATCTCTTCACTGTTCACTCTCTTCTTAAATTTAAGGAAAAAGCTCACTTACCATCTCTATATTACAAAATTTTACAATTATAGCTTAATACAATTTGAAAACTCCATACAAGCCAAGGGTCTTAAGTAAAAATATATTTTGATAAACAAATCATATTTGCCCTTAGCCATTTGATTGTCAATTGCAATACATTGTGTTGAAATTTTATAGGCATTGTGTTGTGCATTTATGAACATCTGTTGTTCTTTTATCCTGCATAACTTGTACATTTCAAATTAAACCATTTATGCTAGACCAATTATATATTAGAAGATATTGTATTGAGAATTTATGAATATTGTGTTGTGCATACATGGAGAAAGAGAAGGTGGGTAAATTTTTTATTGTTAAAACATATTTTCATTTAATGCCCTTG